TCCCTATCTCTCTCACCAGGGTGATAACTAACCCCTCAACCTCCCTATCTCTCTCATCTGGGAGATAACTAACCCCTCAACCTTCCTATCTCTCTCACCTGGGAGATAACTAACCCCACGACCCATCATGCTCATAGTAAATATAGCCCGGTGTCGTCCAGGCTCACACCATCACCTCTCTGCCTCGTACAGGAGATGATAAACCTATAAATTCTTACCCAAACCTTTACAAAATATACTCTCTCTCTCAACTAGGTCTAATTATAACATTCATTAAATGTATCTTATAAATCCATTACCACAAGCTATATTATATTTCTTCCCAGTGAAATAATTACTGAAGGGGTGATGGCAGAGGGCAGAGGTGGGTGGGGTGAGGGAGAGGCCAGCGGCGAATTTGGGGAGTCAGAGAGGAGAGGGGAGGAGGGGAGGGGAGAGGGGAGAGGATGGAGGGGCGGATGGAGGGAAAGGATGGAGGGGAAGGGATGGAGGGAGAGGGAGGAGGAGGGGAGGAGGGGAGAGGATGGAGGGGAGAGGATGGATGGGAGGGGAAAGGATGGAGGGGAGAGAAAGAGGTGAGGGGAGATGAGGGAAGGGAGGGGCGCTGAAAAATAAAGATAGTCTCTCTCTCCACCGAAAAATCCCCTTTGCTAAAATATTGGGTCATCGTCCTGGGCTGTACTCCATCGACCTCAACATAACCACACATTGTTGTGACGGTAACTGCTAGTTCACATCACCCACGTGTTGGAGCAGTAAGTTTAGGAACAGAAATTGAGAATATAAAATTGACGAAATGCAGTTGTCTGACACATACATTCTCTCTTGGGTGGTGTATGTGTAGGGTGGTGTATGTGTAGGGTGGTGTATGTGTAGGGTGGTGTATGTGTAGGGTGGTGTATGTGTAGGGTGGCGTATGTGTAGGGTGGCGTATGTGTAGGGTGGCGTATGTGTAGGGTGGCGTATGTGTAGGGTGGCGTATGTGTAGGGTGGTGTATGTGTAGGGTGGTGTATGTGTAGGGTGGTGTATGTGTAGGGTGGTGTATGTGTAGGGTGGTGTATGTGTAGGGTGGTGTATGTGTAGGGTGGTGTATGTGTTTAGCTTCTTGCAGTAAAAAATTTATAGTTGTAGATTATTTTTACTAATTATTTCCTTTACATTAATCTTTGGAAAATAATGTCAATTGAATCGTACAAGTCAAGTTTTTTTGCATGAAAATTTATATATCAATTCTTATAAAATAATTATTGTAAGTTTATTATTGAAAATCAATACTCGTAAATGTATACTGTAAATAAAAGGAAACCTTTTAAACGATGACCCCGAAAAACACTCAAAAACACAAACGCACTCAAAGACACAACATAAAAACAGAAAAAGCAAACACATGCACCACAAAAAAAACAAAGAAACAAACACAAGCGCACAGAAAAGTAAAAAAAACAAAAACAAAAAAAACACTGCCTTTGTTTGAGACTTGTCGTAAGCAAAACACAGACCAGAATGCCCCAGGCGTCACCACACAACCCAGGCAAAATCACATAAATTTATTACACTATTTGTTAAGAGAGAGAGAGAGAGGAGAGAGAGAGAGAGAGAGAGAGAGAGAGAGAGAGAGAGAGAGATCCATTAAAAATCTGCATCAAGCCAACATGATTACGACCACAGACTCCAATAAAAAAACTCATATAGGACTTCACGCTCTGATGATAGCTGAGTTTGTCTGCACACACACACGCACATATATATACATACAAACACAAAAACATACTATAGTTGTTTATGGGGAAGGTGTCTTAATGGTCGGCTTCATGTATGTATGTATGTATGTATGTATGTATGTATGTATGTATGTTAGTGGTCATTGGTGAACGTAATACTGTAACACGTTATAATGGTATAAATATCAGTGGTTAGGTGGTACATGACATACAAAAACCACAGTTCACAGCACCATTATAACATAACTGAGTTGGTACAATCACGTTAGTTCACGGTCAAATTATTTATATTATCTTCCAAAGCTAAAATGAATCAATCTAAATATTTGGAAATGTTCTCGACTAAAATCATTCATTCTACAGGGTGTCCATAAATGATTACCCTAAAAACAGTATGCTCTCATGTTTTAATCAGGGTAACCATTTATGGACACCCTGTATATTTGTTCACCTTTTCCCATACCCCAAAAAACTCATTCTTTAACCCTTAATATTCTCCTCCCTAACATTCAACATTCACTCATGCTAAAAAAACTAAATATTTTCCCCTAAGATATCCATTCAGCCATTTCTCACTCCTCCCGCTGCCAGAATGACGCATGCTAAAAGTTTCACGTCCTCTTCACGATCTCCATCCTTCATTCCTTATCTTTCAAGGGCAGTAACGACGCGCCAAACCAGCTCCAACAACCCTACTTATACCAGATTGCAGAAGTTAGGTGGACGCCTCCTGAGCCTTGGTCCACACACTCTTGTTATTCTGTACCGACCGTCGACAACCTTCCATTCCTTCTCTCTTTATTCAGCTCCAGTCACTCTCCCACCCTCGTTTTCTCTCTCACTCCCTTTTACCCTCCCAATTTGTACTCATTTCTGCTCTTCCCTTCATCCTCTCCCCCATTCACCTTTTATTACTCATATCCAGCTCCAACATTCAGTCTGTCTGTCTCTGTCTATCTGCATGGCCTTATCTCCCCCTTCTCTCTCTCTCTCTCTCTCTCCTCGCCCCTCACCCACCTTCTCCTCGTTACTCACTCCTCACCACAGCTCCTCGCTCGGTTCTTCACTCCGCCAAACTTGGTGTAAACGAGTTTCCTCAACTTGGTCATTGAATGCAGTTTTCTCAGCTTAGATTTACAGTGTGTGTGTGTGTGTGTGTGTGTGTGTGTGTGTGTGTGTGTGTGTGTTGTAACTTTCTTATACTGCTGCTTGGACGAGAAAGTAATATATACAGGTATTTATATACGTTTGTTGTCGTTAAAGATCGAAAATCTAAGTTGACGAAATGAGGATTTATTTACGAAGAGAGTGATAGGGGTAATTCATATCACGTCTATCTTACTTCATCTATTTCTTACCATCGACTATCTAACTAACTAAAATGACTAAAAGACAAACATATACACACACACACACTGGCCGCCACTAACGTCTCCCTCCCACCTCGAAGACCTCCTTCCCCTCCCCCACCTCCCCATGACACCGATCCCACCATATTCCGGGAGAACAATTGCTGTGTCGTAATGCAAGTAACAATACGACCCCAGGTTTGGCTTCCAGCACAAACGAACAAGCGCTCCCATTGTGTGCGCTTATGCTCATTTAACAAAGGACGTCCACGCCTTGCTCTTCACCTGTTAAATATTCTTGTGGGCCCGCAGCGTGGAAGGAGGTGATGGGCCCTGACAGCCAACCAACCACCAAGGATCGCACACACACACACACACACACACACGGTTTGGCAACTCTGCACCCTGTGGCGTCGTCCGTGTTTCCCCTCCACTGAATATGCATTCTGTATTTGACACGGCTGCTTGCCCTCCCCTCAACGAATACGAATTTAAGCACGGAACGCAAAGGGCTACGGGGATATAAAGAGCCAAGTGCCGTGAGAGGGACGTCGTGGAAACATAGGGGCCTAAATTTAGCGTCTCTTTTGGAGGGTGAGGTGAAGATGATGCCTTTGTGGTAATAACTGGCACGAGGAATAGTAATCCACGTTCCATAGTCATACGATATACTGAAGGATGGAGAAGAGGTGGCTGGGATGTAAGGCAGGGGTGGGGAAGTGGATGTTGTCGTCAATCTCAAAGCCAAAGTGAATAGCAAGCCCCCCCTGTGTCTGTTGGGGGGGGGGGGTGTGCTTGCAGTCTTGGGCCACTTGTCTCACTATCTGTCGAGTACACGGGCGGGGAGAGTCACTCAGGAGGGAGAAGAGTGTCACAGGAACACTTCCACTTGTGTTATTTTACTGCCATGTAAGAAGTACTTTATTGGTTTTCTATTTTGTCTCTTTCTCTGCCTGTCTGTCTCTCTCTCTCTCTCTCTCTCCCACTTACTTGGCATCTTTCCCTCTCTTTAGACTGTCTTTCTTTTCTTCTTTTCTGCCATCTTGTTCCCCTGTCTGTTTCGTCTTTTACTGTCTAACACATCACTGGCTTGGCTACGTCAGTCTAGTACGTGAGAGGAATGATGTAAGTGTTTTTGTATGATCGTTAGTCTCAAGTTTATAAACACTCAAGCAATATTTTAGGCCAAATCTCTCAAACTTCAGCTTAAATCGACGCTTGTACCCGCGCTCGTGTCAGATAGTATGCTAATCTATTGTTGATGAATGTGTGTGTGTGTGTGTGTGTGTGTGTGTGTGTGTTTAATGCATTAGCCTTATTTGAAGATTTCTTTACGCGAGAAAATTCTTGTTGCTCAGGTCACGAATGGCGGTTTCTGGGTAAACCTTCTCAGCCAAAACGTCACCAGACCACAACACCACACACCACACCACACCATACTGCACCACACACCACACGACGCACAACGCCACGCCACAAACACACCACATCATACTACACTATACACACCACACACCATACCACACACCACACCATACCACGAACCACACACTATACCACACCACGCCACACCACACACCATTGACTGCATGAAATATTAAAGCGAGAGGGAGACTCATACCTCACTGTCGTCTGAGACGTCAACTTGATTGAGCCTTCACACAGCTTCAACACACAGCGTGTATTTTTGTAGTGAGTTATGTCCCCTAGTGTGACATATTACTTTCTCTCTGCTTGTGAAGATATACACGAAAAATAACGTGAAGTCCGAGGCGGGATCGAACCTTGGTCACTGAGTGAAAATTTCAACATGTATAAATGCACACGCACGCACTAACGGAAAACCATCAAAAGTGTCACAACAAAGTCATAAACTACAACCACAAATATCACCTACAAACACATCCCTCATCGAACCCGTGTACTGACCTCTGGACACGGGGTGGGGGCTCCACGTGGATACACAGGTCGTCGTGCACGGGCACGTGGTCGGAGGCACGGACGCAGGTGAGCTGGCGGGTCTGCACGCCTCCTCCACACTGTACGGTTGCCTCCTCCTGCCCCACCGACGCCACACACGACCCCCAGGCTGAGCTGACCCACTGGTACCTGTAGGAGGCGGTGAAGGAGACGGTAAATATATACAGTAAGATAGATGATAACGTTGACAATAACCCAGGTGGTAAAACTGACAGTAGAACAGACGCTAAAATTCACAATAAGAGATAATATATAACATAGTAAAATTAACAGTTAATTAGGGGGTTAAATAATGAGAGAAGATTAAACATATGGTAGCATAAAATGGAAAAAAATAAACTGATATGAAAGTTATATTGACAGTAAAATACATGGTAAATAAACAGTAAGGTTAATGGTATTCTGTGTTATAAGTTGTGTTTATAAATGACAAGGGTTTCGATAGCTTGACACTAAAAGATAAATGATGGAAACGAAGGCTTAGGAGGTTTTTTTTCGCCACTAAAAACATTCATAAGTAATAGGGAATCTGATGACTTAGTATTAAACATACACTTTAAAGTCAAGAAGGATCAGATTCCTTTGCTTCTAGATAAGTGACGTGACAATAAGAGTCTAAACGTTTGATACTTAACAAATGGGAGTCAAAGAGTAAGCTTGAATCCTATATTTTTACATGTGTAACCCAAGACTAAAAGAATCTGATCAATTGATTCTGGGTAAGCGAATGACGGAAAAAATGCTCGGATTTCTTTGTTTATAGTTATGCTTATAAAAAAACCCAAAGGGATCTGATTGCTAAAAAATAAACAAAATTAATAACGTACAAAGGCCGGAATTGTCTTATAAGAAGATCTAATCACTTAACACTAATTACATCACAGTCGGAAATAATGACGTTAGTTCTTTCACCTCAGACGTCTTCTTGACAAGGACAATGGCGGAAGATAGAGATTGAATTCTTTACTTCCGGTATAGCGTTCCTGGATAAGAGATCAGAGAGCTTTTGACACTAAACTTAAAGAGAAGAGGGATTAGATTCCTTTGGCTCCCCGAGATGAGTGTAGTGAGAAAGGGGATCCGATCGCTAGACACTTGACTTGACTGACGGAAAGATGACTCGGATTGGCTTAGTCGATGAAAAATAAAGAGATGCAATAAGAAACACAAGGCCTAACTAAAGACGAACCAATAAACACAAGAAGATACAAGTGAGAACATGGCAGTAGTAACGAATAAACAAGGACATACAGAATAAGGCAATATACAAAGAAGTAAAAACAAAACATAAGAACGTAAGTTTAAGAAAAAAAAAAAAACATGCAAGGGAATAAACCCAATTAACCTTTACACATGCACACACACAATGAAAACAACAACACGAGGAGGTACAAAAATTAAGCTGTAGCAGTAAGCTTGAGAGAAAAAACTTTGAGTCAACAGTTCCAGGTCGCCGCTCCCGCTGTCAGCAAAAAGGAAACCTGGCAGAGGTGATCAATTCTTGGTGAGTTACACAAGGCCAAATGAAAGGCTGGGGGAGAGTGTGGAGGAGTTAGGAGAAGAGTTTGGGAGAGTAATGTGCGACGCTGATGGAGAGAGAGAAAGATTTGTGTAAGGGGGAAATGAGCGGTGAGGCTGAGAGGAGAGTGTGTGTACAATGAGGGTACCGAGGAAAAAGATAATTAAGAGGTCTTGTTTTGGCTCTGGTGCATGTGGTGATAACGTACGGGAAGGAAATAGTACTCCAGTTCTGGTGATAAGCGCTGATGTGTTTATAAGGCAACGAAAATGCTTTGAATATATTTGTTTTAGAATTGAAAGAGATTCGAGGATTGATTTTAGATATTTTTGGTGATAAGACTCCTGGTCGACCTAAAATAACGTGTTCTTCGTATTAATGAACACACACACACACACACACACACACACACACACACACACACACACACACACACACACAAAACTCAAGAAATGAATTATAGAAACAAGATATAACAACTATATGTATATACTTTCAAGAGTCTGAGTGCCACCTCATGAAAACTTTCTCAACACACAATTCACAAAACCAACAAAAGTTATCTTAGGAAAAAGACAACTTCAACTAATTGTACCTCTCTTCCCCCAAGGAGTCGCAAACCCTTTGAACATTCTCTTGTTATTTGGCTCACGTTAAATCTTACAGTTGGCTGGATCATAATAAGCTTTCCTTGCAACTTCTTTTCAACCTGAGTTTAAGTCAATCTTAATTGGATGTGGGACAGCCAATAGTTTTCTCTTTATGCACAGTGAAGAAGTTTACCGACGTGTTGGCTGCTCAGTCAGTGAGGGAGGAGACGGTGGGGAATGAATAAGAAAAAGATAGAAGCAATGACGACATTAATATAAACACATACTGTACAGTTCAATATATAGTGTACAAACGTATAACCAAAAAATAAAGATATAGATACACAAGAAACACATTTGAGTGCCTGTCTTAGCACTTGAGCTTATCATTTATAGAAGTGTTCTGTCAGTCAAATGGCCCTTTGTTTATTGTTCTGACTTTAAATTTATTGATATTATTGTTTGTATTTTTAAAACTACATAACTTTGTCCCCTCACACTATGCTCTGAGGAGGGGAGAAGTGATGTTCCGAAAGGTAAGGTAAGCTGAGTGTGTGTGTGTGTGTGTGTGTACCACTACTCTATCTTCCATCACATGTAAGGTAAAAAAAAAAAGTAGGTTAACGAGACCGTCGTCCAATATCCCGTAGACTGTCCGACTCTTCACCTCCTCGTCGTTAATCTGGTGGTGGAAGAACTTACCTAATGGCACTTACCACGTTATTACGTTCTATTAATTAAACGTGGAGGACCGCAACCCCTTGTGTCTGACGTCATACAATCAATGAGGACGAGTTGCTGGACAGGTGCCATTATCTTATGGGTTTTCTCTCAAATTTAAAATGAACTTATTAAAAACTACTCTTATTATCTACCAGTTTCGTCAATAATTCATAAATGCTAAACAAAACACCAATCTTCTGGAACACTGAATATAAAACTGGAATAGATAGATATATGGCAATGTCAGAGTAAAGTAAACACGGAGGTTATTTTTTCTGGGGAGATGGTGTGATTGCAGCGTCCCGAGCTCTTGTTATTGGTGAAGCCCCTCAGGTTTGTTGACTGTGTGAAGGCGAGCCGCGGCGGTTCATTAAGGAAGTGACGCTCTCAGGAAAACAGTAAGTGGTAATACATGAGGTCAGTGTATTACAGGAAAATTTATGAACATGGTGGGTGATGTGGAGCTGCGGTAGGTGTGGTGGAGTGGGAGGTGATTGATGAACCGGTCTTACAGGACTAGCGATAACGATTTATACTTCCCCTAAGCGTTGATCCTTTCCGAAACGCCGTATTAAACACCCTGGTGAACTATTTCCTGCCGATAGCTCCCCGTTGGAGGAGGATGAAGGGTCGTTCTGGCATATAGGAACTTGTTTCTCTCTCTCTCACACACACTACCACACTCAACAACGTCAGCTAGAGAAGGTACAGAAAAGAGCCTGCAGAATCATGCTCGGCGCAGAATACTCAGGCTACACCAACGCTCTCTCCACCCTGGAAATGCCATCCCTCAGTGACCTCCACCACCAAGCACTGGAAAGGTTTGGCAGTGGACTACTGCACCACCCTCGCCATCGCCACCTCCTGCAGCCCCCACCCACCTCGCACAGTCCGCCACTACAACAAAATACAGCCCATAGAGCCGCACGATAGATATAAGAACAGCACCATCCCATCTATTGTTAAAATAATAAACAACTCCTGATTTATGTACTGTACAGCCCTGTAAATGTATTAAATGCATATTATATCATTATGTCTAAATCAAATGTAAGTCTGTATTTTCAGCCACCAGCTGCAACTCTATTAATAAACCTTTTTATTATTATTATTATTATTATTATTATTATTATTATTATTATTACCATCACTGTACTGAGGAGACCTGACACACATACACACAGCCCCTCGACCAGATCAGCCGCTATCTCACCTTTAACCTGGTAGGGAGTTTTGCATCCCTTTGACCAGATTAAAAGTCAATCTACGAGCTGCCAAGTGAGCCCTTCCAACCTCCATCTAGGTGAGGGGCGTTGGTCATAGCTCTCTCCCTCTGTCCCACTCCTCCATCCCTCTCTGTCTCTATCTCACCTCCCTTTCTCACCCTCCTTCCCTCTCTCTCCTCTCCATCTCACACAACCCAGAGACAATTTACTATATTTCATAATCAGTGATATGTTAGGTAGTTTCTTTAGATGATAAAAGTTATACACACACACACACACACACACACACACACACACACACACACACACACACACACACAGTATATTGTTCAGATTTGATTAAATTGGAAACGGATTGTAAAATCATGATTGAATTCTATGGTTCATTGTGTATTTGTTGACACAGGCTTCAACTGGCTGCTGTGATTCATAACTGTTGTGTATCGGTCCATACAACACAACAGCTAATGGTGGTGAACTTTTCGTGTCAATGAAATAATGACTTGTTTTGTAGAGTTATTTTTCAGTTAGACTCTAATTGCAAAACATTCATTGATAAGACTAATATAGATATGAAGATGATAAAATATTATAAGTGGGTGAAAGGAATCAATAAAGGAGATATAGTTGTTATTATAATATCCAGGATAAGACTCGTAACAATTCAAGTTGGATAAGTTTAGGTTTAGGTTTAGGAAGGTAGTGGTTCAAAATAAGTTGGTAGACGACAAGGAACAAGCTTAGCATGGTGCTGGGACAATTTTAAAATGAGGCTAGATAGATTCATGGACGATAGAGTGTGGTTGTAACTCTCGACAGGGCTGCCATGCACCAACCGGCCTATTGCGAACTCCTATTTTCTTTGTTATGTGTGTGTGTGTGTGGCGTGTGTGTGTGTGTGTGTGTGGGCGTGTTGTGTGTGTAGTAAACGGTCGTGGTCTGTCGAAATGTTAAGTAGTGTTGGTTAGTGTGTGTGTGTCTTTACAGGTAATGTTTTTTCATGCTGCAAATTACAAAAGAATTTCAGAGCGTCCTTACTGTCTCATGTGGCACACCAAACCACGACTGTAG